TGAGCTCCTACATCTACATTGTTATTTAGCTCTTTAATTTGCTGCACACATACAGTTGAATTTCTATAATGTGCATATAATGTGATGCAAAGGGGACTTTTTTGTGGAGGAGAAAGAGCGTTGGATTCAGATTGAGAAGCCACGGCATCAAGTTTGGTGCTGCAGTTTCCATCCTTGAACAAACCTTTTAATTAGACAGGACTCAGTTTCCACATCTGTGAAATAGAGGTTACGACCCTTGTTACGGTAGCCATATACGACCACATATAATGGTGCTTTGTCAAACTCTAAAGCATTATTGTCTTGAATGGGCCCAGAGTGTCCCCATCACAATGTATGGCCCCAAGCCTACCTAATGACTAAAAAGCCACAGGATTGCTACATCAAACTCAGTTTTGTCATGGCATCCACATCATATCCTTGATGGAGAACCCATAACCTCTGCAAAAAAAAGCCAGATCTCAGTGCAGAGTGGCAGGAAGCGAAGTGAAAGCAAAACCCTGTGCATGTGCTCTATTTAGAATTTCTCTTAGTACTTCTTTTGGCTTGATATTCATTAGATTACAAGTAAAACCTGAAATCAATTTTTAAAAGCTTAACATTCACTATTTTGTACATTTTAGTTTGCAACAGCTTTATTGAGCTATAACTCCCATACCATGAAATTCACCAATTTAAAGTTTATGATTCAGTGGTTTTTAGTATATTCACAGAATTGTGTATATATCACCACAATAATTTCAGAACATTTTTGCCACCTCAAAGAGAAACACTGGACCCATTAGACTCCGCATTTCCCTTCTCCATCGTTTCCAGCCCTAGGCAACCACTAATCTACTTTCTTTATCTGTGGATTTGCCTGCTCTGTTGTTGTTGTTAGGGGCCATTGAGCCGGTTCCAACTCATATACAACAGAAACACTGCCCGGTTGTGCGCCGTCCTCACAATTGTTGCTACGTTTGAGCCCATTGTTGCAGCCACTGTGTCAATCCATCTCGTTGAGGGTCTTCTTCTCTTTCACTGACCCTCTACTTTACCAAGCATCATGTCCTTCTCCAGGGACTGGTCCCTCCTAATAACGTGTCCAAAGTATGTGAGACGAAGTCTTGCCGTCCTTGCTTCTAAGGAGCATCCTGGCTGTACTTCCTCCAAGACAGATTTGTTCATTCTTCTGGCAGTCCTCAGTATATTCAGTAGTCTTCACCAACACCATAATTCAAATGCATCAATTCTTCGGTCTTACTTATTCATTGTTTACCTTTCACATGCATATGAGGCAACTGAAAATACCGTGGCTTGGATAAGGCGCACCTTAGTCCTCAAAGTGACATCATTGCTTTTTAACACTTGAAAGAGGTCTTTCTCAGCAGATTTGCCCAGTGCGGTGTGTCATTTGATTTCTTGACTGCTGCTTCCATGAGTGTTGCTTGTAGATCCAAGTAAAATGAAACCCTTAACAATTTCATTCTTTTCCCTGATTATCATGATGTTGCTTATTGGTCCAGTTGCCTGTCCTAGACATTTTATAACAATGGAATCATACGGCAAGTGGTCTTTTGTGACAGGCTTATTTCACTTAGCACGATGTTTTCAGGGTTTGTCCGTGCTGCAACATGTAGCAGTACATAATTTGTTTTTTATGACTAAATAATATTCCGTTTTTTGGATTTACCATTTTATTTGTCCATTCATCGGTTGATGGACATTCGGGTTTCCACTCTTTGGCTATTATGAATAATGCCTTTATGAATATTCCTGTACAAGTTTTTGTGTGAATGTGTGTTTTCTTTTCTCTTGGATATATACCTAAAAGTGGAATTGCTGGATTATACATGGTAACTTTATATTTAACATTTTGAGAAACTGTCAAACAGTTTTGCAAAGTGGCTGCATCACTTTGTATTCCCATCAACACGAGAATTCCAATTTCTCCACATCCTCACCAACACTTGTATTTTAGTCATCCTAGTGGTGCAGTGCTTAAGAGCTTGGCTGCCAATCAAAAGGTTGGCAGTTCAAATCCACCAGCTGCTCCTTAGAAACCCTTTGGGGCAGTTCTTCTCTGTGCTATAGGGTCGCTATGAGTTGGAATCGACTCGACAGCAATGGGTTTTTTGAGTTAGTAGGTGTGAAGCGGCGTCTCATTTTGATTTGTATTTCCCTAATGACTAATGATATTGAGCACGTTTTTCTATGTTTATTGGCATGTGTAAGGTAATATGTCTTATTTTCTCTTCTTTGGAAAAATGTCTGTTTGGATCCCTGGCCTATGTCTTAATTGAGTTACTTATCTTTTTACCATTGAGTTATAAGAATTTCTTATGTATTCTGGATTCAAGTCTCTTAACAGAAATATGATCTGCCAATATTTTCTCCCCTTGTATGGGTTTTCTTTTTTTTCTTGATTGTATTGTTTGCAGCATTAAAGGGTTTAATTTTGATGAAGTCCAGTTTATCAATTCTTTTTTTTCCCCACTTGTGTTCTTAGTGTCACACATGAGAAACTGTTGCTATTCCAAGGTCATAAAGATTTACACCTATGTTTCCGTCTAGAGTTTTATAGTTCTAACCCTTATATTTAGGTTGATTCCTTTTTAGTTATTTTTTACCTATGGTGCAAGATAAGGGTCCAAATTCTTTTTTGCATGCGGTCATCCAGTTGTACAAGTCTGTTCTTCCTGGGCCAGAAAGAACAGACTGTTCTTTTGTCGAAAAGACTATTCTTTCTCCCCACCCCCACTGAATGATCTTGACACCTTTGTTGAAAATCCTCTAAGCAGGAGCTGTCAGAGTTTCCTGGGTTGAATTCTTTCCCTACCCAGGACCGGGCCAAAGCTGAGTTTTTGAACAAGAAGTTACGGAAGCAGTTGGCCGAGTTCCGCGCGCCGCCGGTGATGGCGTACGTCCGGGAGAAGATCATAAATGGGGAGCTGGAGAAAAGCATCAAGACGTGGGAAAGGAAAGTGGAGATCGCAGAGGTGAGACACGAGAGAATCCCGAGATGGGCAGTCTTTTTCTCTCTGAACATTTTTGCTTAGGATTTTGTTTTGGGGGGTAAGAATATAGGTATTTGCATGACAGGGAACACAATAGAGAGTCCCTGATGGAGCAGGAGAAAGGTGGGGTGCAGAACTCAAATTCTAGTAAAAAGACCAGACTTAAGGGTCTGCTGAGACTGGAGGAACCCCAGAAAGCATGGCCTCCCGACTCTCTGTCAACCCAGAACTAAAACCATTCCCAAGGCCAACTCTTCAGACAAAGATTAGACTGGACTATGGGACATAAAATGGTACTTGTGAGAAGTGTGCTTCTTAGCTCAAGTAGATACATGAGACTAAATGGGCAGCTTCTGTCCGGAGGTGAGATGAGAAGGCAGAGAGGGTCAGGAGCCGGACACGGGAAATCTAAGATGAAAAGGAGGAGTGTGCTGTCACAGTATAGGGAGAGCAGTTAGGGTCACATAACAATGTATGTATAAATTTTTGCATGAGATACTAACTTGAATTGTAAACTTTCACTTAAACTACAACAATGAAAAAAATATAGGTATTTGCAAGGTTTGTGAGAAATCTTAGCAGTTGCTTTATTATACCAAAATGAAGGGTGGTTTTTGTCTTTAAAGCTCCTTTCTGATTGTTAGGGGTAGGGTCTTTTCAGGTACCAGGAAGAGACTGTAGTAATGTGTGTTTTTAACTGCTTATTTTCTTAATGACCTCGGGAAGCTTAAGAAACCCTCTTCACCATTGGTAATTTAGTGATTGCTACTTCATACATGGGTAAGGCATTTTTTAAAAAAATGAGATAATGGATTTTTACTATCACCCGGCGCCCAATTCCGTGCGTGTACACAGTCACAGGTGTCTTTGTTTTTAACTAATCCTGCAACCTAATAACATGCAGCGTGCACAGTAGCACCCTGGCCCCTTGTGAGCCGCGGAAGAGAAGTGGGCAATGTGGAAACGATTTGCTGGCATCAGAAAGAAGGAAAAGAAAGCACCAAGATTGCCACAGGCCAGGCTGCACGCTGAGGTCACTTAAGACATCCTTTGAGTACCTTAAAAACCCCATCAGGTTACTCGGGAAATGAGCAGGAGCTTGGCGTTGTCACACATAGACCCCGGCCCAGGTCCCGTGGTACTTTCTCCTGCCTTTCCCGTGATCACATGGTGACAGGGAGTGAATTGGGATCCAAACTTGGGCCACATTCAGAGCAGAGAAGCAGCAGAGAATTGCAGCAGACAGCTGCAACTTCTCACTTTATTAAATGGAAGCTTGCTCCTTGGAAGAATCTTCCGGATGGGTGCTGCTCATGGGTGGCCCTACCCAGCTGCATGCACGGCAGGATACTGCCCAACGCAGGATCGCCCAGACTATCAGCAGGGCTGGATGAGGGCTGCATTCTAGATGGTTACAATCGGTGGCAAAATGACCTTCTCCCCCCCCAACCCCTTTCACCTCTTTCGCAGATGTCCTTGAAAGGCTACCGCAAAGCTTGGAATAGAATGAAAACCACTTGTGAGCAGTTGCAGGCAACTGGCCCCCCTGGGAAATAACCAGAGGAAGGCCTGGCCACAGCTGCAACCCAAGAAGTGATCTATTAAAGTAAACAATTCTTTTCTAGTCAGCGTTCCTGTCACTGTTTCCTGTGCTGACTGCTGTCCCCAGCTCTCCAGCCAGGCTGTCCTTCACCTCCCGGGCCACATCTGCCCATGGGGCGCTCTCACAGCCTGGCCCCTGGAACCGTCAACACTGAAAGAACCACAGCGCACGTTGATGGTTTGACACTTGTTAGCCCACATTTTAGTTCACAAGCACAAATGAAGGTGACCTTCTCGCATGTGGGATGGGACAGAGGAGGGAGAGCCAGCCCAGTATGTGCCGTGTGGCAGCCCAGGTGTGCAACTATCAAAAATACAAAAATAGACATCAGTACTGCCTGGCAAGTTCCTGGCACCCAGCATTCTGAGCTTACTCTTCAGTGGGGTGGGTCAGCTCCTAGACTAGGTACCGCTGCAAAAGAAAACCAGCAAGAAGAAAAGCAAGATAGTTTCTTGGGACTGATGTAGGCTGTTCTGACCTGCAATGAACCCCCCCTCTCCAGCCTCCCCACCATAGTAGTCATAATACATGGGCTGTATGGCCATCTCCGAAGACCGGCCTGCTTCTCTCAGGCCTTTTTCTCTAAAGTCGAGATTACTTCTAGAGTCATTTGCTGGCAGCAAATGACTGGAGTGCCAGTTTCGTCCTTGGTGGTGCCCTCGGTGCCATCCAGCATGGCCCAGCCCAGCATGTGTTTTCTGTGCCACGATGCTCCTCAGCCCATCAGAGTAAGGGCGCACCTTCTCCCAGTGGTGGAGGGAATGCAGGGCGGGGCCGACCCTCTTAGCCTTGGCCATGATCCAGTTGCTGTAGTCTTCCACTTTGGTGTACAGAAACGGGCCAGCGCATTTCTCACCACCTTTGTTCAGGACTCCTCTCAAGACCCACAGATCCGAGTGCTGTAGCTGGCAGATCATTGGGTTTCCTGGGTCCCCCTGTGACAAAGGACAGAAGGCTTCAGATCTCAGAGAAATTTGCTTTCTTTTTTAATATACCCTTGTGCAATTTGGCGCACAAGGCAATTTGGGAGTGTATCCTGATGCAAATAGCAATGTTGTACGCTAGTTCTCACTGGGACCAAACCTGCTGCCGTTGAGTCGATTCCAACTCATAGCGACCTGGAGGACAGAGTAGAGCTGCCCCATTGGGTTTCCAAGGAGCGCCTTGTGGATTTGAACCACCAACCTTTTGGTTAGCAGCTTAGCTCTTAACCAGTGCGCCCCCAGGGCTCCTCTCACTAGGAATGGGGTACAATTACACTATACTGTTTCGAATAAAGGCAAAGGCAGCAGCCACTACAAATTCCAACAAGATGACTTTTTCTTGTATTATGCAGATTATTCATGGACTGCTACAGTTTGCCTGTAGCTTCCCAGTTCAAATTTCATTTTCTTGCCCTCTTCCTTCCAGAGCTTCAACTAAGTCCTTCTTCTCCTTTGTTTTCTCATTCCTCAGGTGCTGATATATCTTTCCTTTCTGGCCTGGAATGCCCATGTATCCCCTTCTCCTCTCTATCTTGTTTTCATCCTTAGATTAAGCTGCTCCCTCCCACCCACAGGCCTTCGGGGCCAGAGCCGAGCTTCTCAGGGAGCGTGCACTGGGCAGGTCCACAGCTTTCCACCTGCCACTTCCTGTTCCTCCACCTGCTCACCGGCCTCTGCCCTGCTCCTAGCCTCCCCAGCTCCCATGGGAGCAGGCAGCTGGCATTCTGGAATTCTGTGGCACAGACCGTATCTTCTTTACCGTGAGTGGCTAGAAGCTTAGCACACTTAGCTGGATCTGTGACCCTGGGCAAGTTACTGAATCTCTGATCTAAAGTGGGAATAAAATCAATTGCTGTCGAGTTGATTCAAACTCATAGAGACCCTGTAGGACAGCGTAGAACGGCTCCAAAGGGTTTCCAAGGCTGTAAATCTGTACAGAAGCCGATTGCCACATCTTTCTCCCGTGAAGCTGCTGGTGAATTCAAACTGCCAACCTTTCAGTTAACAGCCGAGTGCTTAACCACTGTGCCACGAAGGCTCCTTAAAGTGAGGATACTAACAGTTAATGCCTGTAACACATGCCGAGCACTGCATACAGTTCCTGGCACACAGTGAACGCTCAGTGAAAGCTGGCTACTATTATTTCCACGTCTATAAAAGGCCGTCATTTCTATGTGAAAAGTTAAGAGATACGAGAAAAGCAACAAGATAGTTACTAGGTATAATTTACCTTAGCTGCCCCCACGCCCAGTACACAAACCAAAAATCAAGCCCATTGCCGTTGAGCCAATTCCGATTCATGACGGGCCCCATGTGTCACAGAGTAGAACTGCTTCTAGGGTTTTCTTGGCTGTAATCTTTACGGAGGAGCCCTGGTGGCCAGTGGTTAAGTGCTACAGTTGCTAACCAAAAGGTTACCAGCTGCTCTTGGCAGTTCTGCTCCATCCTATAGGGTCGCTATGAGGCAGAGTCGACTCGACGGCAATGGGTTTCTTTGTTTTGTTTTTAAATCTTTACAGAAGCAAATCACCACCAATCTTCAGGTTAGTGGTTGAGCGAAAACCACTTGGCACCACCCAGGGAACTTCCCAACACACCAGCCCCCAGTTAAACAGATATGCCCCTCCCGAGTGGTCCATCTTGGCCCAAGGAAGGGTCTGTCATCCAAAGGCCAGACAACCACCTTTGACCCGTCTAGCTAGAAGAGAAGAGCTGGGCCACCTGCTCTTGGCTATTTGGACTGGGACACGGACGGGAGGTGCAGTGACAATAGGAAACACTCCTGAACAGACTCAACAACAAGAAGCATTAAGAGTGGCCACCTCAACCCCGCCTATCCCGAGGCACGGTTGTTCAGTCTTCCCTGGGTGTCTACACACACATATCCTTTTCCTTAGTCTGCCCTTTTTCTGAAGAAGCCACACCGAACAAAAATCAAGGTGAATAGGGAAAGAAAGGAGCAGCTCTGCAGAGCGTGGCAGCAGGAAGGCATGCTCTGCAAAGCTAGTGATCCCTCAGAAGGCCAGGGCCAGACTCATGGAGTTCATTCTGTGCTTCTAATTAGGCATAAAGCAATGCTACCGTGTAGAATTCTTGATTTTTCAGCTTTTCGCTATCTACTGTTTTTATCCCCTACTGTCAAACATTGGTAGCGATAACAGAGCATCAAGATTTTATACCAGAGTACTGGCTGTTATCCTGTCTGGGTAGTGCAAACAGTTAAGTAGCTGACTACTGACAGAAAGGTTGGCGGTTCGAACCTATCCAGAGGCGCCTCAGAAGAAAGGCTTCAAAAGTCAGAGCCTTGACAACTGTATGGAGTGCAATTTTATTCTGCACACATGGGGTTGCCATGAGTCATAATTGACCTGACAGCCACTGGTTTGGTTTTTTTTTGGTTAAGCAGCCTCCTTGCCTGTGTCCGTCATGTCTGCGTGGTGCAGACAGGCTCTCTGGCCAGAATGACATGCTTTCCCCTCCTTTCACTGGTCCCAGCCCCAGTTTGTTTTGACTGTGATCTTATAACTGGAGGAAGAAAGTATGCAATTCAGAACAAATAGTTCGATGAATGATTGTGTGGCAGATGTTCCCGGCTATTGCACAGTTTTGCGGCTTGCTCTTCCACCCGGGGTGCAGAACACACTGCGTTTGCTCTTCCCCATGATCCTGTGGGGCTGTGACTTCTGTAGTACAAGCAGCTGAGACAAAAGGTACCACGTGGTGGCTCCTTTGGGGCACCCCCATCTCAGCTCCCAAGGGAGGGTCTCTTTCATTATCTTTTCCTTTGAGATTCAGCAAAAGCCCTAACAGTTGTTAAAAAAAAAAAAAAAAAAAAAAGTGGGGAGGGGGTTTCAGAGTGATTCTGCCTTTGTTGGGTTTCTGGGGAGACCCATTAGGCAGATGCTGAATCTGAGTGGTTTATACTACATGTGGGACCTCTTGGGAGCTGGAAGCTAGAACACACTTCAGAGGGAAGCACCCTGGGCAGGCAGGTCACCATTTATTTGTCTGAGGCAGTTTGCAGGCACAATTCTTTTCAAAAACAAAGAAACGTCTACCGGTGTGCAGCAGTTAAAAACCAGCCTGAACTTTGCAGGTAGTTTTTAAAAAGATGATCATCTAGAATATAAACAACTTACCATATTCAATTGAGTCTAAGATGCACTTAAAATTTTTTTTTAACATCTTTGAAATTGAGATGCACCTTTAATCATTAGGCATCAGAGTTTAACTGGCAGCATTTTTTCTTTCTTGATATTATATAAAATAACGGTGCATCCTGCCAACAGCGGCACTGTAGATTTGATGAAGTTTGGTACTGGATTGATGGAATGGCTGATGGCAGAATTTCATTAAATGGTTACGTCTTCTACTGAATTGAAACAAATTATCAGACTTAAGAAGCCCTAGTGGCACAGTAGTTAAGTGCTCGGCTGCTAACTGAAAGGTCTGTGGTTCGAACCCACCAGCTGCTCCATGGGAGAAAGATGGGGCCTTCTGCTTCCGTAAAGATTTACAGCCTTGGAAAGCCTATGGGGCAGTTCTACCCGTTATATAGGGTCACCATGAGTCAGAAGTGACTCAACAGCAACAGGTTTTATCTGACTTAAGAAGTTGTTAAGATCCTGTACCTGGCAAGGAGTCCAGTAACAAGTAACAATCAATAGTGCTGGACAAACTTCGGAAGGGCAAACGTACTGACTAATGAGAGGAAGTCCTTCATGATTTAGGAATAAAATGACTTAAAAAAAGAATTGTCTACAAATATGTATGTTTTTTCCTCTCCCTAAAAGATTTGCCCTTTTAGATCCTCAGGTGGCACTGGGGGGGTGGGGGATATTTTCCCTATCAGGGAGTCCTAAAGGTTATTTAAAGGACAGTATGTGGTTAGCATTTTAGAAGAACAATTTTAGAGTAGAAGAAAGAAATCCTGGTTGGAAATCTGGTAAACCTGGTTCTAGTCTTTAATCTAACATTTACTAACTGTGTGACCCCAGTATGGTACCTGAGTATGGACACAAAGGGCCTAGACCAAGTGTTCATGAATTCTATGCATTTTCCTGAAATAGCAAGGCAGCCACATCTGTCCAGCTCTCATCTGGGCGGAGGGAGGGGCTTCTCACAGGAATAACCCCCAATAGCTGACAAGCATCAGCATCGGCGGGTAGGGGGCACGTTCCATAGAGGTTAAATGGGGTGATCCCACATTGCAGACTTGCTCAGAGAATATCTGCATGTGTGATTAGGATTCACACTTTCAAATGTTTAGCTAGTTAAAAAACATTTGTGACTTAGTCATGCTTAACCATGTTTTGCTGAAAATGTTGACTAGTTAGCCCATTCAGTAGAGTTTTATTGAGCACTTGCTAACTGCCAAGTGCTGTTCACCCCAGAGACAGCCACAAGTCTCGGGTAATGGTCTCTGCCCTCAGGAAGCTCACCATAAAGCCAGGGGGAGTCCCGAGGCTCCCCTGGGAGTGATCAATGTTGACTCTCAGCATTTAGTTTCTACTCTCTCATGTTCTTACCAAGCAGATGTTCTCTGTTTTCTGCTTTCTGTGACTGCAGCAGGCTGTTTTCGGGGGTTTGTATAAGGGACACAGGTCAACGTCTTTCACGGAGATTTTCCTCAGGACACTCATCGTCATATGCTTTCCTGTCTGGACCATGCAACAGAGAGTCTGAGAATTGTTAACAAGAAGTGCCCCCCGATGTCACCTCAACTGCAGCTCAGATATCCAAATGGGAGTAGGAAATGTCCTTGTGAACCCCTTTCCTCATAGAAATCAGAACCTATGTCTGAGTTTGTACTAAAAACCACCTTTGCTTTGAACTTGAATATGAAAATAGGCAGAGGATATATTCACCCTTCCTCTATATGTACAGAGTATACATTTCCTATTTTTCTTTCTTTCCCAAGAATAAAAGAAAACAAGGATGGCTTAGATAAAAGAACAATCAACTCCCGTTCAGGGAACAATTTCCCCTCACCCCTCCATAACCTTGCATTCCGTTCAGGCTGTCCTTTGCCTATGTACTTCCAGTGTCAGTATAGAGCTAGAGGGAAAAGGGTCAAATGTAAGAATGACCACAGAAAAGGCACGCACTGTGAATCTTGAAAGAAAAGCTTATCAGGTGAGGGTTCCAGCCCAACTCTAGAACCTCAAGCAAACTGAATTATTAAATTAAGATAAGCCCTAATACTGTTCCTCCAAGTCACCCCCACTGCTAGCACACACACAGCCTCCTCTAGGAGAAGGAAGCATTAACTGCAGACGTGGGGTTCCATCCTGACACCCAGCAGTTCCACAAGGTTGGTGGCTTATGCAGCTTCCTGCCGAGGAAGCAGATGGGCTGGACCAAATCGTTGAACTGCATCGCCGTGTCTGTCATCAGGAGGGCTATGTTGTTTCTCATGGAGCGGTTATTAAAGCCCTCATGGATGATGATGGTATTGACTGGATACTCTGTGTGGGCTTTCTTTCTGGAATCCATGTTAGCTATACCAACTATAACGACCACGTTCTTCCTGGAAATAAAGCAAAGGAAACTTGAGAAGCCAAGGCAGGAGGAAGCTTCACACCTCCCTGTTTTCACAGTTATCATTCCTTGGGCCTGGAATGCTAATCCAACTCATCTTCCCTGAGCTGGTTTTACTCACCCCTTCACACCCAGTCTCCAGGAAATCTTTTCTGAATCTCCAGGTGTGTACCCTTCTTTGTGAGCCCATAGAATCTTGAGAAGTCTTCTATCTTAACACCATTTGCTCCGCAACCCAAAGATAATCTGTTAACATGCTATTGTTGGTACTTTTTTTTCTATGCATAGTTGTTCTTGTTGTTTTTAACATAGTTGTGGTTATACCAAATATGTAATCTTGACTCCTGCCTTTAGCACCTAATATTTTAATATAAACATCTTTCCATCTTTATATACTGTGGAAATACACTTTAGAGAGTTTCCAGTTTTAATAATGATGGAGTAAAGTTGGGTGTTTTCCTCATCTCCTCTTGGGAATCACCCAAGGAGCTATGAGAATGATAAACAAATGCAAACATCATAAAACTAAAATACACTAGAGAATCCAAACCTCAAAATCAGAGGAAGGGCTGACAAAAGCATGAAGGACAGCAGGAGGTAGGGAGTCAGAGATGACACTTACACCCTCAGAAAAAGGTTGGCCAAGCATACTTCTCAGCAAAGAAGTGGGAGGGAAAGAAATAAAACCATCACAGAAATGAAGGCCAGATGGAAGCTGCATAAAGTAACATAGAGACCACAGAAAACCCAGTCAGGGACATAGAAGGTGTAAATCAGGCCTCTCCCAACAATTTAGGATATATGGTCACGCCTACTTATAGGGGAGAAAATCAGAGTGACCTCAGACTTCTCCTCAGCAAGATTTAATAACAGAAGCCAAGAGGTAATGCCTAGAATGTCCTCAAGAAAAGGTGTGAGCCATGGATTCTATACTTAAGTAGTCCTTCAGATTTAAGGGCAGCACAAAAAAATTTGAATATGCAAAACCAGGAAAATATGGTTCTTGGGGGCCCTTGAAGAAACTATTTAAAGACAGACTTCAACCAACTCTAGTGTAGAATGAGAAAATCCAGCAAAAGGATGGTCAGTAAGTGTGAAATGCATCATAATACTGGAATAAAATTAAAACAAAAGAAAACTTTTTTAAAGTTATAGCTCTGAGTAAAAATGTTATAAACTCTGGCAAGAATCAATCAATGTAACTAAAGTTAGAACGTCAGCTGGAGGTAGTGTATACACAATTTTTTCACTTTTTATATTCAGGGGTGAAAACATATTATTTACAGCTAATATATGAAGTAATAAGGGTATACAATTACATAAACAAATAGAGGTTAACAGTAAAACACATGTATAATCTATTGAAATTGAGTGGTGAAAGGGAAGGAGGGAGGAAGGAAGAAGTGATAAAACACAAATTCTGATCCTGGACACAGTAAGGAGTCAAGAGAAGACTTCCCAGAAACAGAATTTGGGTGTCTTGTATGAAATTATTTCATGTAATTTCCTGTTGGATCACAACAAAATATGGCCTAATATAGTTCTAGAAGATTGTTCAGCATAGTGCTGCAAGAAGGCGCTTAACGCACAGTGACTGCAACAGTGGACTCAAGCATACGGATAATCGTGACGAAGGCACAGGACTGGGCAACGTTTCGTTCTGCTGTACATGGAGTCGCCATGAGTCAGAGGCAACTTGACGGCAACTAACAATAACAACTAACAACAAAAACACATGAAATTATAACGCTAAGATGAGCACTGAAATGGGAACACAAACTCTCCGAATTTATCAGAAGGGAACTACGGAACCAAACAGAGGCCATACAGTGAAAAAGGAAAACAAGATGCAATAAAACAGAAAGCATAACCTAAATCAAAAAGGAAAAGCAAGAGTCACGTTCCTAACATCAAGCAAGCTTGATAAATTCATGATCCAAAAAAGCATTAAACAACAAAGAAAGTCCCATTATAATGATAAAAAACTCATTCTCCAGTCACGATCTCACAGTTACAAATATCTGCAGAAGCGATACAGTGTTCACAAAGTAAAAACTACAGGAAATACAGGGAGAAAAGTCCAGAAGCTTCTTCAAGGTAGGAGATTTTATTTCAGCTCTCTCAGTCTAGGACAGATCAAGTAGGGCCGCCTCACCCCAGTTTTATATATAAAATCAGACACCAAGGACAGAGAATACACTTTTCAGTTTATCTGTGGAAAACATTCACATGGACCACGTACATTAGGCCACAAGGACAACCTCAACGAATTCCAGAATAGATCACCATGTGGTATTACTCAACATTAATAACATTAGAAAACAAACAAAACCCTTACAACCCAGTACATAGTATGTATGTATTTATGGCTAGAATATTTTTAAGACCCGAGGAAAGTGTTTTCAGAGAAATGATCTGACTCCAGGACAGCAGGACAGAGCCAGCTCTGGCGGCTTAACAAGATAAGCAATATGGACCTCCAGTATTAAGAGTCAGAGCCTTCGTAACTTGGATAAATCAGAACAAATACTCCCCCTCCCGCAAATACAGAATGGAAGGAGTCCTGGTGGCACAGTGGTTAAGTGCTTGGCTGCTAAACGAAAGGTCGGCTGTTCAAACCCACCAGCTGTTCTGAGGGAGAAAGGTGTAGTAGTCTGCATCTGTACAGATTCAAGCCTTGGATACCCTATGGGGCAGTTCTACTGTGTCCTGTAGGGTCACTGTGAGTAGGAATCGACTCCACCGCAAAGGGTTCTATAGAATGGAGGGCCAATCATTTCACTATTCAGCTGCACAGCGGCAGTTCTCACGCAGAGAAGACAGCCGATTGAGCCACTACTTGGCGACTGGTGATTTTAGGACCCGAGAATCCTCTTTTTCCAGCCTCCCAGGCTGAGAAGGAAATGGAGCACCACCCCAGGGAGCTAGGCAGGTCCCAAAGGCAGGGGTACTGGCCTGTGCTGAAAGGCAGACGCGATGCTGAGGATCCAGAACTCACTGAGGATGCAGCCGAAAGCCAGGTGGGTGTACTGGGAATCCTGCAGGGACACCACCCATGGGAACATCTTGCTGTGGACCAAGTTGTCCTCGAGAGTGTCCGGAATGAAAGCTTTCTGGATGCCACAGTCTGCAGAGGGAATGTGAGGCCTCACTGCTGGGTCTGGAGTTGGCTGACTGTGGGCACCACCAGCCAGCTAGACCTCAGGAACCCCTCTCCTGCAGGTCCCCCACTCCTCCTGGCTCGTCATCCTGGCCATTGCTCATCCTACCACCCAGTTCCTTTCCTTACCCGAGTGAGTCTTGGTGGTATCTTTGAGCCTATAAGTAGTGTTAGACTACAAGTAATAACTCCCATCTATTGAGCACTTGGGAGTTCCTGGGTGGTGTAAACAGTCAACGCGCTCAGCT